GAACTCAAAACCACAGGACCACAATTCACATTGCTTTTACTCTACCCACATAGTTCAGAAACTCCAGACTCAAAAGTAACAGAATTATTCCTCAAGCAGTGATACTACCATGGCCCAAGGCAAAAGCAAACAAAAAACTTCTCTGAAGAATTGCACCCACATCCCAAATATCATGGGATTTTACCCAGGAAAAAAACCCACAAGCCCTGCTAAGGAGGAGTTCACAATAAAAAACTGCAGAGCCCATGAGGGAACAATCCAACCCGATCAAGAGTCTGCATACAGAATTATATCCCCAGGAACGCTAAACACAGAGAGATAGCCCAAAAGAGATTATCAAAGAAATATATAAAATGAAGACGAGAAAGGAAGAAAACAAATCCTAAAAGAACTAAACCCTACGAACAAAAGAGCCAGCAGGATTGAAAAAGATAAAATAGGAGAAAGCCCATCATGTATCTTAGAATAAATCTTTTTGAAAAGATTGTAGTGATCATGAAAAATTCTTTACTAAAAGACATTAGAGAAGACTAAACTAATTGGGAAAAAATACACCATGTTTATGGATAGGCAGACTCGATACAGTAAAGATGTCAGTTCTCTCCAGGTTAATCTATAAATTTAAGGCAGTTCCCAGCAAAATCCAACAGATTTCACAGAAAACCTGAAATGTACAGTTTTGTGAATACTGAAGTTCTGCTCCCGGGGAAGACAGGGCTTGGGCCCTGCCAGCCTCTGGTCACAAGATTTTCGTCAATTCATCAACAATTGACCTCCTTTTATGTGTTTCTGTTCAAAGACACCTCACTTCATACATAGAGCTGATTTATTAACACTGAACTCGGGCCAGCAGCGCTCTACCTCAGCCTGAAGGAAGCTTACCCAACACACCTGTTTTCAACCGACCATTCCCCCCGACCCCCACCCATCCCACTCCCCCTTTCCACTCCCCCATCCCACCCCAGGGCCTTCTTGCGCTTAGGAACAACACTAGAAAGCCCTTCAGTGCTACGTTTGAGGATCATTTTGAACAGTGAAATCACCAACACAAAGCACAAAAATACAAAAAAGGGGGGGCACTAAATACACCATGCGAAGGACGCTTGTTTACAGTCAGAGAACTGAACCCGAAGGCAGAGCGTTGCCTTGTTTGGCCTCAGCTGGTACACCTTTGACTCCAAATTTCACTACCTTGCACCCGACCGCCATAAATGTTGATTTAGGGTTACAAATTTCAGTGAGTAGGTGAATTCGCAAATACAGAACTGGCAAATAATAAGCAACGACTGTATCTTTGTATTTCCAGGGTTGGAAAGAATATTTGTTTTTAGACAAGATGCAAAAAGCACAAATTATAATGGAGAAGACTGACAGGCTAGGTAAATTGACATTTAAAACTTCTGCTCGAGCCTTGCAGATGCTGCCCTGGAACCTCCCGCACCACCCAGCCATCGTCCACCCCCCCCCCCACCTGCCCCTTCTTCCATACCGCTGAGGACCATGAGCCCTTGGCCCGCAGCTCCTATGAGCTGTTGGCAAAGTTCAGTGACAGCAGAGAACTTCCGTGCTCTGAGCACTGTGGAGAAAGGATAAAGGTTCCTGCTTTCACAGGATTATTCTGCAATTTCTGTGCCAGGGTGGTGACGTCACACACCATCATGGCACTGGCGGCCAGTCCAACTATGGGGAGAATTTGATGAGAATTTCTTCCTGAAGCACACGGGTCCTGGCATCTTGTCCAGGGCAAATGCTGGCCCCCACACAAATGGTTCCCAGTTTTTCATCTCCACTGCCAAAGCCTGAGTGGTCAGATGGCAAGCATGTGGTGTTTGGCAAGGTGAGAGAGGGCAGGAATATCGTGGATGCCATGGAGTGCTCTGGGTCCGGGAATGGCAAGACCAGCAAGAAGATCACTATTGCCGACTATGGACGAATCTCATAAATTTGACTTGTGTTTTATCTTAACTACCAGACTGTTCCTTCTGCAGCTCAGGCGGGCACCCCTTCACCCCCATCTGCTCAAAATATCCTACAATCTTTGAGCTCTTGCTGCAGCTCTACAGGTTCCATATTTTCCTTATTCCCCTCCAAGTCTAGCTGAATCACAGTTAAGTTTAGAATTATGAAATAAAAACTAAACAAAAAAAAGACTTCTTAAAAATCCGTCAGCAGGAAACTTAAAAAAAACCTGAATCACTATATTGTCCACCTGAAACTAAGATAACACTGTATGTTAACTGGAATTAAAATAAAACCTTAAAAATATATTTATGTCAGAAAAAAGGGAAAAATAAAGTCACAGACTGGAGAAGATAATCTGCTCCCCAGATAAAGGATTAGTATCAAGGAGAGTTTTAAAGTTCCTAGAAATCAATAATAAAGTAGCTATTAGAAAAATGAGCAAAGGGCGCCTGGGTGGCTCAGATGGTTAAGCGTCTGCCTTCGGCTCAGGTCATGGTCCCAGGGTCCTGGGATCGAGCCCCGCATCAGGCTCCCTGCTCCTTGGGAGCCTGCTTCTCCCTCTGCTTCTCTCTCTCTCTCTCCCTCTGTCTCTCATGAATAAATAAATAAAATCTTTAAACAAAAAAAAGAAAAATGAGCAAAAGAACAACATTTTCTTAAAACAGACTGGCCAACAAACAAAAAGATGTTCCATCTCATCTGTAATAAATATAAATTGAGATTTCACAACTCTCTATATTGTACATATATACTTTATAAAATTGAAATGTGGCTAAGCAGAGCTCGTGTTTCAAGCAGAAGTTTCACAACATTCAATAACAATCTTCAGTAAAATCTAAGTACATTTTTAGGTAAAATTTCCAACAAAGGCATTTAATTCCAGAGATTAGAAGCCCAAGGAAGAAAATGAGAGTTCCAGAAAAAAACCAAGAATAGATAACCAAATGATACTCAGGAAGCAACAAAAAGACTCATCCTCAACCGCCAGGGATTGGACATTTCTTAAAACCACTATCCTGGGATTATCAGTGGATTTTCACGCAAGATAATGGGGCAGAAGCTCTATATACATCAGGTTGTACACATTCAGAGCATTCATCAAGATTTTGTTATTTTGGGGCACCTGGGTGTCTAGTTGGTTGAGCAGCTGCCTTTGGCTCAGGTCACGATCCCGGGGTTCTGGGATAGAGCCCCACATTGGGCTCCTTGCTCAGTGGGGAGCCTGCTTCTCCCTCTGCCTGCCACTCCCCCTGCTTGCATTCTTACTCTTGCTCTCTCTCTCAAAAAAAAGATTCTGTTCTTTTGGAACCACTCTCAATATGAAACTCTGTATCAGTTGGGATTCTATATATACATAAAACCAGTAGAAGGGGTTTATGCAAATGTGGGAGCTGGTTAAGCAGTCTCAGGAAGACGCCATACCTGGTGTTGGAGCTCGGAATCCACAGGGCAGGTAGTCAGGAGGGGAAGATGAAAAGCCGGCTCAACCCCCCCCCCCCCAGTACAAGCTGGCCTCTCACAAGAACGGACTGTAAACTGAGTTCCTTCTTACCGCCTCAGGCGTTAGTGATGAGGTCACCTGCAGAAGCCAGGCCCCTTCGCCAACGGAACTAAACACACACACACCTGGCCCAGGAATCAAAGAAGCTGACGGAGGATCCGACGGAGGATCCAGGTGGAACTTAGAGCAATTTCGGGCCACTTGACCTCAACAAAGTGACTCAGCAGCTCAGCAACAGTGTGTGCAAGCTACGCTTCGGCCACTACCTCCCTTTGCCTTCCCAGTCACTCATGAGTCTCCCTGGCCACCCACATTAACCAGAAACATACAAGAACAGGAATTCTGAGAAATGCAGTTCAGCCTAGCCAAATTGACACGTTGCAAAGCCATCACATTCTTTAATGGTTGTGTCTCTTCAGACCCTCCTTTTGTTCTTGAGTCAGTCTTAGTAAATTACATTTTTCTCTAAGAAACAGTCCATTCGCCTATTTTAAAAAAAATGGTTACTCACAGTATTCTTGTGAACTATTTTTAGCAATTTCTGGTAGAGCTACAGTTATATTCCTTTTCACTCATTAATATGGTTATCTTATGTTGTTTCTAATTTAACTGCATTATGATCAGAGAATGTAGTATCTTTGTTTTTGGTTGCTTGGTATTTGAGATATGTGTTGTAGTCTAATACATGGTCAACTCTTAACAAATGTTCCATGTGTGCTTGAAAACAATGTGTATTCTCTAAAATTGTACACACACATACACAATTGCAATTAGGTGGATTAATTGGGTTGTCCAAAAGTCTATACACTATTTTTTTATATACATGGTCAATTCCTGACATAGGTATATTAAAAATCTCCCTCTACCAATTTTTCCTAGTAGTTATGTCAATTTTTGCATTATAAAATTTAAAGCTCTGTTATTAGATGCATATACGTTTATAATTCTATCCTCTTGGTGAATCGTTCCTCTTAGCATTCAGTAATGACCCCTTTTATCCCTAATGATATTTTTTGCCTCAAAGTCTATATCCTGTCTGACGTTAGTATTGCTACAGTTTTAATTATGCTTTTTTTTCTTGCCCACTAGGGGTTTCTATTACTTTCTTGTCAGCTCAGCTATGCATTTAAAAACGATATTTGTTATATTTTATCCATTATTCCTGGTGTGTGTACCAGGTAGGGTTGTGGTTATCTAACCTGGCATACTGATAGATCTTAAGGTTCTCAAAATTAGAAAAAAATGAAACACATACTCGCCTTTAAAGAGAAACCTATTATGTTTGATATGCAATAGGAATAGCAGAATAAATTGCACAGTATATGCATAACCAAGGCCCCATCTCACCAATGAAGGTGTCAAACCATATTAACTCTAGGGTTCAATCTGAATTGTGTTCACTTTGTATCTCCAACAGACAGGGGAAAATAGGCTCTTTCAAACAATACTCTCCCACCAAGAATCTGATATGGCCCCCATCCCTCAAGTATGGTTCCCCCACGATTGAGAATCACTGGTTTATGGTCTCCAAAGAAGATTCAGTTTAAAGATGGACATATTTTATTCCATTAATAGTTTGGTATTCCTCCTCCCATCCCTCAGTCACTCACACATGTTGCACTTTTCTCTGGTGCTCTGTGGGTTCCTTTCAACATGTTTCCAAACTGCTCTGGTCTCCTGGTCCAAGAGGCCAACACTAGGCTCAAACCCAGTTTCTACCTGGCAATGTGTGAGTCCTAACATTGGAGCCAAATACTATCAGCTGACATTTAATCTAGTTTTACCAATTACCACTTCATGGGGACTTCAGAAACCCACATTATACATCTGCTCATGGTATGAATGGGGGTCTACTTTTCTCTACTACTGATTATGAATTACAAGGGTTCTGGAAAGATGGCATCAGTGATTTCGGCCCAAGAGTTTACAGGAGGGAAAGCCCTAGTTCTTGTTAAGGAGGGTTGCCATCTGATTTGTTCAACTTATCCAATTTATGCACTACATAGAAAGCCTTTAGAAACTCATTAAAGTCAATGCTTCCATCTTTGTTTAAGTCCATTCTTTCAGCGAGTTCATCAACTTGAAAATCATCAATATGAATGTTGTAGTGACTATTGAAGAGTTTCCACATGGCACGAAATTCTTCCATGGAAATCAGGCCTAAAGGAATATAGAAGAATGTATGAGTGTTGGTTTTAAGACCCACCTAATGGAGGGGTGGGGAAGTTATACTGATTGAATAGTCCTAATGAGAAGCTCACTCACATGCCCCGACCATCGAGACACTGAAGGAAATAGAAAAGTCAGACTGTTAATATAAGACATAATATGTCACATTCAAGTACCAAGTGATCCTGAGATTATTCCAAACCTGGAATGAGTCTACACCGAAGGGATGAGGGTACATTGTAGACTGTGGGACTCTATGTGGTATAGAAATTGTAAGATCTCAAATCTAAGGGAAAGGGACATCAAAGCAGAGGGAGAAGATACCCTGGCCCTCAATAAAAGGATTGTAAACAATGGCTCTGCCATGTTTTATAGGCAATGATTTACTTTCATATTTTGATTACTGACCTTTTGGTATTCAATGATCTCTGCAGTTGGGGATTACCCAACGAATTTTTTTTAGAGTTTGAAAACAAGTAATTGTGCCTCAAAGCCAAGCAGAAATGAATTTTCATGGCCCTGAGTCCCAAAAGCAGAATCAGAAGTCCAGGAATGCTTTTTATTGCTTGGAGTAACCACTATGTTTAAATGGCCAGGAAATTATCTTTTCATCTGTGTGGTGACTTATAAAAGGAGCTATTCTTGTCTAATAGATACAGAGGCCTATAGGAACTGTAAGGTCTTGAATACAGTTTTTGGACAAACTAAAATAATAATAATATTAAACATGAGTTTATCCCCGCCCCACTCCCCCCGCCCCCGAGTTAAATCAAGTTTGGGCGAAGAACGCAACAGATGAAAACAGAGTTCTGCTTTCCGAGAAACAGATCACCCTTTGCTTTCTACTGCTACTGAACTAGTCAACGCTCATTTACCTGAGTGATCGGAGTCAATGACATTGAAGATGATTTGCAGGTCAGAGCGGTATCTGTACAGAGTTTCAATTAGAGTAGATTGAGCCTAAAATGAAGATGTTCTAAATGTTAAAACACATATACTTAATAACACAGGACAATTTTAGTAAATGTAACAAACACAGAACGTTATCACCAGTTCAAAGGATGTGATTCAGATAGAAATTTGAGAAGGCAGGCCTTCCTTGGAGGACCAACCCCTTTAATCGAAGACAAGACCACACTCTTGTATGTGGAAGCAAGTGCAGCCTGTGTGTGTCAGGGGACAGGGCCCACGCCAATCAGGAAGCGATGAACAACAGCCAACATTTACTGAGAACACCCAAGTGTAGGCTCTGCGCTGAGAGTTTTCCATGAGTCATTTCATTGTGTCCTCAATAAGGGCCCCAAAGAACAGAATTATTATTATGTCCATTTTACAGATTAGAAAACAGAGAGGTAAAGTAAGTTTCCCAGGGTTCACATAGCTGGTAAATGGGATGTGATTCTCAGCGGCCTGAAGCCAAGGCCTATGGGTTTGGTCATCATGGTAAACTGCCTCTTGGGTGAAGCCAAAAGCCTCCTTCATGTGGATATTTTACTCTCTCACCTGCACTTTAGCTTTCTTCTCCCTGCTCTTACCTTCTCATCTCCCCTGCAAACCATCACCCCATTCTTAGTTCCCATGAGCTCCCTTTCAGCTCAGGGTTATAACTAATTGCCAAAGGGTTGTTGACTAATAAGGATGGGGAGTGGTGTCTAATAATTCTCCTTGCGGTATTCCCATTTTAATAAGAGATTCTAAAGTTTACAAGTCTTTAAGGCATAAAATGTCATGTCAGCAAGTTTATTCCCCCACAGTTTAATAGGGACTCTGTTGAGTATTTTAAGGGGGGAGTTGAATGAAAGAATAGATGTCATATCTGTCCTTCTGCTGGACAGCATGTCAGAGAAGAATCACATATTTGACATGGATTTGCTTGCAGAAGCTTTTCCTTCTTTTTCCATGTTGCCTATTCTCACAAGGCACAAATTTCCTGAACAGATCACAATGTACCTGGAAGAGCCCCCTTAGGCCTTTCCCAAGACCACCACACCCATCCATTAGGTGATTCTCCCCAACTTTTGTTTTGTTTTGTTTTAAGATTTTATTTATTCGTCAGAGAGAGAGACAGCACAAGAGCAGGGTGAAGAGCAGAGGGAGAAAAAGACTCCCGCTGAGCAGGGAGCCCGATGCAGGGCTCGATCCCAGGACCCTGAGCCACCCAGGGGCCCCATCCCCAACTTTTCAAAGGACTGAGTTCCTTTTATAGGTCGTCTGAAGGGTGTTTTGCTCCAGCCAGGGTTTTTTTTGTTTGTTTTTTATTTTTTATTTTTTTAAAGAGAGAGAGCACATGTGTGAGGGGTGGGGAGGGGCAGAGGGAGAGAGAGAATCCCAAGCAGACTCCGCACTGAACTTGGAGCCCAATGTGGGGCTCAATCCCAGGATCCATGAGATCATGACCTGAGCTGAAACCAAGAGTCTGATGCTTAACTAAGCCACCCAGGTGCCCCACCGCTCCAGCCAGGTTTTAGCTGGGGCTCCATTTCACTTGCCTCTTTCACAGGTTTCTGAATGTGGATATCCTGGAAGCTGGACATGTAGTCAATATTTCCATTTTTGTCTGTGGTTACCAGATGAGAACTCAGGGATCTCCACGGTAAGTTCAGCCCCAAAATGTTCTCCATGGAAAAAGCCCACTGGCCCATAGAAAGTTTTCCTAACAACAACAACAAAGCCCATATCATTGGTTGATAATTTGGTAAAGAAATGCAACCTACTTGGCAGAGCCAGGGAGCAGCCTGGGGTTTTGAGGCCTGGGTGCCTCCTGCTCTCCTTTGTGACTTGTCCCAACAGGTACCACAGCTCTGGTATATAATATAGTAATTCCACACTTCTTTACATCACCCAGTGCTCATCACGACCAGTGCCCTCCTTAATCCCCATCACCTGTTTCCCCCATCCCCCCAGCCCCTCCCCTCTGGTAACCAGCAGTTTGTTCTCTAGAGTTAAGAGTCTGTTTCTTGATTTGTCTCTCTCTCTCTCTATTTTATCCTTTTGTTTTGTTTCTTAAATTTCACATGAGTGAAATCATATGGTATTTGTCTTTCTCTGACTTATTTCACTCAGCATAATACTCTCTAGCTCCACCCATGCCGTTGCAAATGGCAAGATTTCATTATTTTTTTATGGCTGAGTAATATTCCATTGTGTATATATACCACTATTCTTTATCCATTCATCAATCGATGGACATTCGCATTGCTTCCGTATCTTGGCTGTTGTAAATAATGCTTCTATAAACATAGGGGTGGATGTATCCCTTTGAATTAGTGTTCTTGTATTCTTTGGGTAAAATACCCAGTAGTGTGATTGCTGGTTTAAAAGGTATTTCTATTTTTAACTTTTTGAGGACCCTCCATACTGTTTTCCACAGTGGCTGCACCAGTTTGCATTCCCACCAACAGTGCGCGAGGGTTCCTTTTTCTCCACATCCTCACCAACACCTGTCGCTTCCTGACTTGTTAATTTTAGCCGTTCTGACTGGTGTGAGGTGGTATCTCATTGAGGTTTTGATTTGCATTTTCCTGATGGTAAATGACGATGAGCATCTTTTCATGTGTCTGTTGGTCATAATTCTTTTTTTAAAATTAAAGTTCAACATATACAGAAAAGTTCACAAAACAAAGACAGAACTCAGTGAGTTTTCACAAAGGGAGTTCCTATTAGCCACCACCAAGGACAAGAAATAGAACATTGCCAAATACCATATGATTTCATTCATGTGAAATTTAAGAAACAAAACAAATGAGCAAAGAGGAAAAAAAAGAGAGAGGCAAACCAAGAAATAGACTCTTTTTTTTTAAAGATTTTATTTATTTATTTATTTATTTATTTGAGAGAGAGAGAATGAGAGATAGAGAGCACGAGAGGGAAGAGGGTCAGAGGGAGAAGCAGACTCCCTGCCGAGCAGGGAGCCCGATGTGGGACTCGATCCCGGGACTCCAGGATCATGACCTGAGCCGAAGGCAGTCGCTTAACCAACTGAGCCACCCAGGCGCCCCAAGAAATAGACTCTTAACTGTAGAGAACACACTGATGGTTACCAGAGGGGAGGTGGGTGGGGGGATGGGGTTAAACAGGTGATGAGCACCGGGTGATGTGTAAAAGTGCTGAATCACTATATTGTACACCTGAAACTAATATTACACTGTATGTTAACTGGAACTTAAATAAAAACTCAAAGTTAAAAAAAAAAAAGAAATAGAACATTGCCAATATTCAAAAGGCCCCCTTGTGGCCTCTCACAATTACTACCATCTCCCACTTTATTAAGGAGAGCTGCTATCTTGATTTCCAACACTATAATTAACCTTTTGTCTTTTTTGATCTATATGCAAATGGAATCATGAAGTATATATTCTGGGGGGAGTCTGACTTCTTTTGGTAACACTAAGTTCGTGAGAGTCAGCCATGTTGTTCCATTCAGTTTTAGCATCTTCATTGTCATTGGTGTATAGTATTCCATGGTGTGAATACACACAATTTATATATCCATTCTACTGTTGGGGGACATTAGGGTTACCCCCAGTTTGGGGCTATTACAAACAGTGTTGCTAAGAACGTTTCTGTACATGCCCTTTTGGTGCATTGAACCTATAGCTCAATTTGAAGAGAATTTATATCTTGCCAACTTCAGCCCTTGCACACAGTAATATCTACCCATTTACTTCAGTCCTTTTTAATTTCTCTTAATAATATTTTAGAAATCTCATACATCAATCATTAGGTTCCTTCCTCAGTCCTTGCTTATCTGCTGTGAATGGTATCTTTTAAGATTTTCATTATCTAAAAGTTAAGTCCTAGCTATGTCAGTTATCAGTTTATTCTTACTCAGCTCCAAATCTACCCTTCTTTGTCCTGTTTTGTGATACTGGAACCGAACCCTGTAAATATTTCTCTTTTGGCAGCTGGTATAATGTCAGTAGAGGGTACAGGAAGAATGCTCTAAGACTTGGCAGAAGAAATACTTTTGGTATGCTTTCCTTCTTGCTTTTACAGCACGGCATGGTTGCCAGAGGTGTGTGGGAAATGCATTGGCACCCACTATCTAGTCAATTTCACCGACACCACAGAGAATAGCTTCCTTGCCAGGAGTGTGTGGGAGACTCAGTGGTACACAGCCCAAAGAGGGTTTTGCTGGCTACCCCAGTGGGTAGCTCCATCCTCTTCAGTCCTGGTCCAGCAGCTATAGACCAGCTTTGACATGAGACACCTCAGTGAACTTCCACCCCATCTAGTGGGCCATAGTCACTCCCTCTTCAATGAGATCTGAATCTTAGCCTTGGTGGCAGTAGGGGACCCTTCCAAGTTTGTTCCTTCCTTGGGTACACTTTCTCAGCCATAGAGATAGTAGCTGCTCTCTATAATTTCTATTCCTATATTCTTTAGAGTTCTCTTTTAGCCATTTTAGTAATTAATCACCTTTTACTAGTTAATAATTCTTTATATTAAATTTTCCGGTTCAAATTATTGCTGTGGTTTCTGGCCCAACAGACTCTAACCAATATACTAATATATGGAAATGCAATCAATTTCTGTGCATTGACCTTGTGTTCTACAACTTGTTAAATTCACTTATTAATTCTAAGAGTTTTCCTGGGTCTTTATTTAGGTTTTCTGTATACTCAATTATGTTGTCTACACATAGTAACATTTTATTTCTTCCTTTCTAATTCTTATCATCTTATTTAACTTGCCTTATTGCAGTAGCTAGCATCCCTAGTACAATTTTCAACAATCTTGAGAGTAGATATCTGTATTCGTTTCCTACTGCTGCTGTAACAAATTACCACAGACTTAGTGGCTTAAAATAACACAAATTTATTCTCTTAAAGTTCTGGAGATTAGAAGCCCAAAATCTGTTTGCTGGGCCAAGTCAAAGTGTCAGCAGGGCTGGTTCCTTTGGGAAACTCTCATGGGAGGATCCATTTTCTTCCCCTTTTCAGCTTCTAAAGGCTGCCTATATTCCTTGACTTGAGGCCCCTTCCTCCGTTTTCAGGGGGTATCATTGCAATATTTGCTTCCACCAGCACATCACCTTCTCCTCTGACTCTGACTCTGACTCCTCCTACATCCCTCTTATAAAGACCATTGTAATTATGTCAATTCCACCTAGATAACGCAAGATTGTCTCCCTAGGTCAAGAACGTTATTTTAATCACATCTTCAAAATCCCTTTAGCATATAAGGTGACATTCAAAGATTCTAGGGATTAGGATGTAGACATATTGGGGGATGGGAATTATTCAGCATCTTTCTCTCATTCCCAATCTTAGAAGAAAGGGTTTCAACATTACTCTGTCAAAGGTGCTTTTTTCTATAGGCTTCGTTAGATACCCTTTATGAGACTAAGGAAATTTGCTTCTATTTTTAGTTTTCTAAGTGTTTTCTAAAGCCACGATACCAAGGTAAAATACATCCAACAAGTTTTTCTTATTTGGAGAGAAGCATGACTTCTTTAATTTTGTTAAAGCAGTGAATTACACTGATTGATTTCTGAATGTTAAAACAACCTAGAATTCCTAACATTTCTAGAATAAACCAAACTTGGTTGTGATATATTAACCTTTTGCTAATATTTCATTTAGGATTTTTTTCATCTAAATTTATGAGTGAGATTAGCCATTAATTTTCCTTTTCCATAAAGTTTTTTTAGGTTTTGGTATCAAGGTTATGCTGACCTCCTAAAATAATCTTGGAAATATTCCTTCTATTTACATTCTCTGGAAGAGTTTGTGTAATACTGGTTTTATTCTTAAATGTATATTATAATGGCTAATGAAGCTATCTGAACTAAGCTTTCTTTGGGGCAAGTTTCAAAATTTCAGATCCATTTTCTTCAACAGTTATAGGATTGTTTAGATTTTCTATTTCTTTTTGTGTCAGTTTTGGTAAGAGAGAGAGTGTGTGTGTGTGTACATATTTTAGGAATTTGCCCATTTAATCTAAAGTGTTAATTATTAGCATAAGAATTTCTATAATACATCTTATGAGCTTTTTAATATCTGTAAAATCTGTAGTAACATCTTTCCTTTCAATTCTGGCATTGGTTATTTCTCTGTCTCCTTACCAATGTTTTATCAACTTTACCAGTTTCTTAAAGAATCTTTATTTTTTTACTTTGTTGATCATAGTTTCATCTTTTTACTTTTTTTATCTTTTATTAGATTTTATTTTATATTTGACAGAGAGAGACAGCAAGAGAGGGAACACAAGCAGGGGGAGTGGGAGAGGGAGAAGCAGGGTTCCCGCTGAGCAGGGAGCCTGATGTGGGGCTCAATCCCAGGACCCGGACCTGAGCCGAAGGCAGATGCTTAATGACTGAGCCACCCAGGTGACCCCATAGTTTCATCTTTTAAAAATATTAAAATGTATGCATGTTCAGTGCTTCTCTAACTTGCATCTTGTAAGTTTCAATATGTTGCATTTTTATTTTCATTCAGTTGCAGAATTCTAATTTCCACTGTTGTTTCTCCTTTGATCTAAGGGTTATTTAGAAGTGTATTTCTCATTTCTAAGCCCCAGGGAATTTTCTGGCTACCTTCTGTCAACTCACTATGACAGAAAATTTATTCTGTGTGTTTCCTACAAAAAATTTGTTGAGATTTGCTTTCTGTACCAGTTTATAATCAATTTTTGTAAGTGTCCCATTTGTGCTTGACTAAAATGTATATTCTGCAATGTTGGGTACAGGGTTCTATATACATCTTTTAGGGAAAGTCTGCTAATCTTTTTGTCAGTTAATTCTTTTAGTTAAAGGAGTATTAAAATCTCCCAATATGATGGTAGATTTTTCTACTTTTATTTGTTCTGTTAATTTTTTTTACATATTTTTGAGGCTATATTAAGAAGTACATACACATTTGGAATGGATTCAATTGGCAAACTGAATATTTTATCATTATAAAGTGTCCCTTTTTATTTCTAGTAAGGTATATTTCCTTGAAGTCTACTTTGTCTAATATTAATAGAGCTGTTACAACTTTGGTTTTGTTAGTGTTTTCATGTTATATCTTTTTCTAAATTTTATTTTCAACGGTTTGTATATATGATTCTACTGTCTACTGGCTTCTATTGCAACTATTGAGAAGTCTGATAACAGTCCAGTTGTTTTCTCTTTGTAGCAACGTGTATTTCTCTCTGCTTTTAAGATATTTTTATTTGCTGTTGGTGCTCTGTAGTTTCTCCACAAGTGTGTACAGGTGTGGATTTAATTTTTTTATCCTGTTTGAGAAACACTGTGCCTCTCTACCTGTGAATGTGAGTTGCTCATCAGTTCTGGAAAAGTCTCAGCCATAATCATGTCAAATATATCCTCTCTTACAGTCTCTCCTCCTGGGATTCTGAGTTGATGTATGTTAGACTTTATTTTACTATCCATAACTCTTAATCTTTCTAATTCTTTCTTAAGCAATGTCTAATCTTCTGTTTAACCCATCCACTATGTTTATTTAAACAAGTATATTTTTATAGCTATTTGGTTCATCAAGTCATTTTCAAATGCATGTCTGCAATTCCATCTTTTATTTCTTTAAACATTTCTTAGTTATATTTGTATTTGATAATTCTAATATCTGATGTCTTTAGGGAACTAAATCTGTAGTTTGTTGTTTCTGTTGACTCTTACTCATGGTAGCTTGTCTCCTTGTGTGTTTCATGATCTTTGGTTATGAGCTCATGGTTGATCTTAATCTCTGGATATATTAGTGGCCAAAATTAGGGATGCATCCCTTGAGCATGGATTTGCATTTGTTTGCCAAGACTCAGGGGGCACTACAAACATAGGCCTACCATAGCCACTTTGAGGGCCCAGGCTTAATGCAGAAGTCTCAGATCTAGCTTATCCATCTTTTTATTATCCCAAGGTTTAGTCTTAGGATTGAGTGTTACACCAAAATTAGCATTTGCCCTCAGGACAATCTACCATTTTGTGCTTGCTTGTTGTTCCATGCCCCCACATGTGGTTTCAAAAAACCTTTCATGAAGAAATAGAATGTTTCCTAGATATTTATCTTACTGTGAGGCTGGGAGATGCATTAAAATTCTGTATCCTCTAGAATCTAACTGTTTAAGAGGAGGGCCTTACAGAGTATCTAGTCTGAGATACTACCAGAATAGAAGGGTTGTTGTTGTTTTAAGTTGAAAGAAACTTACTGCAAAGGAGAAATATGGCTTTTTTCAAGTACATAATGGATTACATTTTATTTTTATCTCTGTCTTTCCTTGCTAGTAAAAATAGAAAACTGAAATCTTAAGGGCGCAAAAAAAAAAAAAAAAAAAAAAAAAAAGAAAACTGATTTGTATGTAAGCTGGTATGTTAAGAAATAGTAAGCATTACATAATTTTATTACCTGATTTACTGCGGTCTTGAAGTTGGAAAGCACGAATGAGGTCAGTTTTTCGTGAAATCATTCTCTCTTTCAATATCCTGATGGCACTACTTTCAATAGCATTCACCCTACAGTAAAAAAACAATTATTAGGTGAAAGACACATAAATCATCCCATTGTGTCTTGTTTTAATGTGTTATATTACCACTTACCAGATTTTACTTCAAATGAATTGCCTAACTTCACACATACCCTGTTATTAGGTGGTCAGTGCTTGTGTATGTATATATGTGTGTGACTGTATTGTGAAATTTTAAAAGGATTACCACTGGTGTTTTCTTTTTGATTTCAAAGATTTACATGAGCAATTGATGTCTGAGCATATCTGAGATAATTTTAAAAAACAAGAAAAATAAAGAGGGACTTGCTATAGCAGACATTAAAATTTACTGTGAAGTTGTGAAAACCAAACAATAGGTATTGACACAAGAGAAGACAGATCCATGAGCAGAACATAATAGAAATTGCATAAACTTAGTGAACTATATATGGGAACAATACATATGACAAAGAAGGTATTACAATTCAGTAGAAAAGGGCTATTTTTTTAAACATGCAGCTAGCTAGCATAGTTATCTGTCTAGATGCTAAACCACCTCGACCATTTACAAAAATAAATTCTAAATAAAGGAGGAAGAGAGAAATAAAGTAGCTATGAGTAATATACCCCCTCCCCCAAAAAGCAAAATGGCAGAGGTGGCAGACCCAACTGTATGTTTTCTACAGGAGATACACTTTAGTTTCAAAGATATAAAGAGCTTGAAAGAACAACAACAACAAAAAAAGATGTATTATGGGGCGCCTGGGTGGCTCAGTTGGTTGGGCAACTGCCTTCGGCTCAGGTCATGATCCTGGAGTCCCAGGATCGAGTCCCGCATCGGGCTCCCTGCTCAGCAGGGAGTCTGCTTCTCCCTCTGACCCTCCCCCCTCTCATGTGCTCTCTTGCTCTCACTCTCTCTAATAAATAAAATCTTTAAAAAAAAAAAAAGATGTATTATGCAAACAGCAACCATAAGAGAGTTAGAGTGGCTATACTAATAGTAGACAGAATAGACTTGAAGACAAAATATATTACTAGAGATAAAGAAGGACATTTTATAATGGTAAAAGAGTCAGACAAGAAGACAAAACAATTGTAAACATATATGAACCTAACAACAGAGCCCAAAACTATATGAAGCAAAAACAGAATTGAAGGGAGAAATAGGCAATTTAACAATAATAGTTGGGGACTTCAATATTCTACTTTCAATAATGGATAGAACAATGAGGCAGAAAAAAAGGATATAAAAGACTTGAACTGCACTATAAACCAACTAAATTTAATAGATATGTATAAAACACTCTACCCAACAACAGCAGAATATACATTTTTCTAAAGCACATATGGAACATTCTCCACAATAGATCTTATGCTAGGCCACAATATAAGTCTCAATAGATTTAACATGATTAAAATAATACAAAGTATCTTTTCTGACTACAAAAGGAATAAATTAGAGATTAATAACAGAAAGAAATTTGGGGAAATCATAAATACAAGGAAATTAAACAACACAATCCTAAATAACCAATGGGTCAAAGAAGAAATCACAAGAGAAATTAGAAAATACTTTAAGATAAATGAAGATTAAAACACAATATGTCAAATCATATGAGACACAACCAAAACAGTACTTAGAGGAAAATTTACAGCTACGAATGCCTATATTAAAAAAGATCTCAAATCGATAACATAATCTCTGCCTTCAAAAACCAGAAAAAAAAAAGAGTAAACCAAAAGAAAGCAGGATGGAAAGAATAAAGAATAGAGGAAAACTATAGGCATAAATGTTTTATAGTACTTCACAGGTATTTTTACATATTGAAGGTTTGTGGTAACCCTGCATTGAGCAAGTCTATTAGCGCCATTTTTCAAATAGCATTTGCTGACTCCATGTCTGTGTGTCACATTTTGGTAATTCTTGCAATACTTCAAACTTTTCCATTATTATTTTATTTGTTATGGTGACCTATGATCAGTGATCTTTAATGTTAGTATTGTAATTGTTTGGGGGTGCCACAAACTATGCCCATATAAGAGAACCAACTTAATTGATAAATATTGTATCTGTTCTGACTGTTCTACTGACCAGTCATTCCCCCATCTCTCTCCCTCTCCTTGAGCCTCCCTATTCTCTGAGACACAACAATATTGAAATTAGACCAACTAATAACCCTACAATGGCCTCTAAGTGTTCCAAGTGAAAGGGAGTCATAGGTCTCTCACTTTATATTTTTTAAGTTTATTTATTTATTTTTAGTAATCTCTACACCCAATGTGGGGCTCAAACTCACAACCCCGAGATCAAGAGTCACATGCTCTTCTGACTGAGGCAGCCAGGTGCCCCTCTCACTTTAAATCAAAAGCTAGAAATGATTACGCTTAGTGAAGAAGGCATGTTGAAAGCCAAGAGAGGCTGAAAACTAAGCCTCTTGTGCCACAAAGTTAGCCAAGTTGTTAATGCAAAGAAAAAAATTTTGAAGGAAATTAAAAGTGCTATTCCAATAAACCCAAATGATAAGAAAGTGAAACAGCCTTATTGCTGATATGGAGAAAGTCTAAGTGGTCTGGTTAGAAGATCAAACCAGCCATAATATTCTCTTAGGCCAAAGCCTACTCCAGAGCAAAGTCCTAACTCTCTTCAATTCTATGAAGGCTGAGAGAGGAGAAGAAGGCAGATGAAAGGTGTGAAACTAGCAAAGGTCGGTTCATGAGGTTTAAGGAAAGAAGCCATCTCCATAATATTAAAGTTGAAGGTGAAGCAGCAAGTGCTGATGTAGAAGCTGGAGCAAGTGATCCAGAAAATCTGGCTAAAATAATTAATGAAGGTGGTTCCACTAAACAACAGATTTTCAATGCAGGTGAAAGAGCCTTCTGTTGGAAGAAGATGCCATCTAGGACTTCCATAGCTAGAGAGGAGAAGTCAACGCCTGGCTTCAAAGCTTCCAAGGACAGGCCAACTCTCTTGTTAGGGGCTAATGCAGCTGGTGACTTTAAGTTGAAGGCAATGTTTTGTGTGTGTGTGTGTTTTTTTTAAGATTTTATTTATTTATTTATTTGAGAGAGAGAGAGAGAGAGAGAGAGAGAGAGAGCGTGCACGCGAGAGCACAAGCAGGGGCAGAGGCAGAGGGAAAGGGAGAAGCAGACCCCACTGAGCAGGGAGCCTGACATGGAGCTCGACCCCAGAACCCTGGGATCATGACCTGAGCCAAAGGCAGACACTTAACCGACTGAGCCACCCAGGCACCCTGAAGGCAATGTTTATTTACCATTCTGAAAATCTTAGGGCCTTTAAGAATTATGCTAAAATCCGCTCAGCCTGTGCTCTATAAATGGAACAACAAAGCCTAAATGACAGCACACTTGTTTACAACATGGTTTACTGAATATTTTAAGCCCGTTGCTGAGGCCTACTGCTCAGAAAGAAAGATTCCTTTTAACATGACTGCTCACGGACAATGCACCTGGTCACCTGAGAGCTCTGATGAGATGGACAGTGAGATTCATGGTTTGTGACTGCTGAAACAACTTTCATTCTGCAGCCCATGGACCAAGGAGGAATTTAGATTTTCAAATCTTATTATTTAAGAAATACATTTTATGCTTTTCTGTCTGGGCTGCTGACATGCCATACAGACTGAGGAAGACCCGGAAACTTCGGGGCCACATGAGCCACGGCCACGGCCGCACCAGCAAGCACCGGAAGCACCCAGGAGGCCGGGGTAATGCTGGTGGCATGCATCACCACAGGATCAACTTCGACAAATATCACCCAGGTTACTTTGAAAAAGTTGGTATGAGACATTGCCACTTAAAGAAGAACCAGAGCTTCTGCCCAACTGTCAACCTTGATAAACTGTGGACCTTAGTCAGTGAGCAGACATGGGTAAATGCTGCCAAAAACAAGACGGGGGCTGCTCCTATCATTGATGTGGTGTGATCGGGCTACTACAAAGTTTTGGGAAAGGGAAAACTCCCAAAACAGCCTGTCATCGTGAAGGCCAAATTCTTCAGTAGAAGAGCAGAGGAGAAGATTAAGGGCGTTGGGAGTGCCTGCGTTCTAGTAGCTTGAAGCCACGTTGAGGGGGGGAGGTTCATTAAATGCTAACAAGTGCTTTTCTCTTCTGCAAAAAAAAAAAAAAAGAAAAAGAAAAAGAAACACATTTTATAAGGCTATAGCTGCCATAGATAGTGATTCCCCTGACTGATCTGGGCAAAGTAATTTGAAAACCTTCTGAAAAGGATTCACCATTCTAGATGCCATTAAGAACATTCATGATTCATTGGAAGAGGTCAAATATCAACATTAACAGGAGTTTGGAAGAAGTTGATTCCAAACCTCATGGATGACTTTGAGGGGCTCAAGACTTCAGTGAAGGCAGTCACTGCAGATGTGGTGGAAACAACAAGAGAACTAGAGTTAGAAGTAGAGTCTGAAGATGTGACTGAATCGCTGCCATCTCAGGATAAAATTTTAATGGATGACGAGTTGCTTCTTATGGATGAGCAAAGAAAGTGGTTTCTTGAGATGAATCTACTCCTGGTGAAGATGCTGTGAAGATTATTGAAATGACAACAAAGGATTTAAAATAGTATATACATTTAGCTGATAAAGCAGCAGCAGGGTTTTGAGAGGACTGACTCCAATTCTGAAAGAAGTTACTGTGGGCAAAATGCTGTCAAACAGCATCACATGCTACAGAGAAATTGTTCATGAAAGGAACAGCCAATCAATTTAGCAAATTTCATTGTTGTCTTATTTTAAGGAATTGCCACAGCTGCCCCAGCGTTCACCAACCATCACCCTGATCAGTCAACAGCCATCAAGATTGAGGCAAGACCCTCCACCAGGAAGATTATGACTGGCCGAAAGTTCAGATGATGACTACTATTTTTTTTAACAATAGAGTATTTTAAAATTAAAGTATATACATTGTTTTTTAGAAATGCTATTGCACACTTAATAGACTACAGTATAATGTAAACATAACTTTTATATGCACTAGGAAACTGAAAAATTCTCCT